AGATTACCCTAGTGAACAAGAAGAAGAAATGAGCATGAGTAGATAAACAATATTAGACCATAGAAGGATCCACAGAGTACAGAGAAAGACCATACACATAAGTATTTAACGGAGAACTCTTTGGTTCTTTGCCATTTTTAGGTAGTAATTCTCTACTTTTACTGTGTAATGTCCCAGGGGTGGTTTTCTGTTTTGTTTTGTTTTTTTCTCTGTTTGCTGTTGCAATTTTTTCAGTGGCAAAAATAAGAAAGTGAACTTAGTGTTGAAGTGGGAGTAGTCTGGGGAAAATCTTTAGAAATGTCTATGAGAGAAATTTTAGGTGTAGAATCACAAAGGAGGAGATTGTCTCATACAAAAAGAATTAAATTGAGTTAACTTGAGATTTTATGTTAGAGAAAATGGTTAGCTACTGCTGACTGGTTCCTTGTCCACTAACTCCTGTCAAGTTGATGTTGGTAACACATCATGTAATTCCATAACCACATTGACGCACATTTTCTGTTAACCGGCTTCAGTGTTCACAAGAAACCAGGAATTGGAGAAGAACTGAAGCTCCCTGTACAGCTGCCCTGTGCAAAATGCATGAGCGTCTGCACGCCTAGCGGGTCTACTGTAGAAGCGTCGGTGCTTGCGCTTTCGCAGATCATCGTCCCGAAGGCCTCCAGCCCAACCGTTGTCCTGACTTTCTCCTCGCTGCAAGAGTATTGTCTTTGGGCCTATCTTTTTCCTTCAGCGCCACTCTGGGCAAAGCTGGGTTTTACTCTGGGCCATTCCGGAGTGTATGATTCTGTTTGTTGGTTGCTTGCTTCTGGTGAGTTGTGTGTGTCCACGTGTGTGTGCGTGCGCGCGCGTGAGCGCGCATGTGCATGCAGACATGGTGGAATTTATAATCCCTCCTAATCCCTCCTAATTAGGGAGTCTCTAATCAAGCTTCACTTTAGAATATTTTCTATCTGGAGTTTACTTATTTTCTTTTGTTGTGTGTGGGGGCAGGTTGGGGTTTCTCTACGAATCACTTAGCAGTGTTTTTTTTTTTAAGCTGAACAGGATATAAGGAGGAGGCTGGGTGGTGTAGTGGGTGATGCGTTGGACTTCTAACCTCCAAGAGGTCAGCAGTTTGAAACCACCAGCTGCCATGCAAGAGACATGTGAGGCTTTCTGCTCCCGTGGAAATTTACAAGCTGCAGGGGCATTCTGTCCTATAGGGCAGTGCTGTGAGTTGGAATTGATTTCATGGCAGTAAGAGCATAGACGTAATTTTCAACCTCTGTATTTTCATGAATCTTATCAACACAAGGATAGTCCAAAATCTGCAAAAGGCGATCTGAGCCTGTCATTCAGAAGAAAATCCAAATTCCACTTGTAGGACCAGTATTGTGCTGACCACAAAGCCCTACTTCTAGGAGAGGGCAGATGGCACCATAATTGCAGAGGAAGGAGGCATTGTTGTTCGGCAAAAGGGGCCTGACAGTGAGTCCCAGAAGAAAGCTTCGGGGTGTAGGCACAGACAGCAGACTTCATCAAGGCAAATGCCAAAAATACCCACTAAGACCTGATACACATATTAAATGTGTATCATGACCGTTTGTGTAATGATTAGGGTAGGCCCTATATCACAGCTTAAAAAGCTGAACCGTTTTTCCACATGCCATTAATTTTAGTGATAAAAAAGTAAAATAAGTGGATATTAAACAAAGAAGAAGATTGAATAAACTTCCCACTGTGGGCTCCAGGCCAGGAAAACTCCGCAGAGATGAAAGGCACCTTCCTCCTCACTCACTCGGCAAAACAATCTGGGCCTAAACAAGCGCCTTTCCGAGGCACAGCGTGTGCTGGGTGTTCTGCTTCCAGGTGGGGCCCGCTCCAGCCCTTTTTGTGGCCGCACTAGCTGCAACTGATCCAGTGGGAAACGGAGTTGGAATGCCCGTGACCCACCTTGGCAGGATCTGCTGTCTGAGGCTGGAGTGAAGCCCATCTCACACTCGCATCGATAGGCACCCGGGACGTTGAGGCACTGTCCATTCTCACAGAGATTGATGTTTTCTGCACACTCGTCGACATCTGTGGAGAAGCAAACGACATCTCTTACATCCACATGAATCAAGTTCTGCATTTCATGGTCCACGTTTTTGTCTTAAGATACATCTTTTTTTTTTTTTTTTAACATTTTATTAGGGGCTCATACAACTGTTATCCCAATCCATACACACATCAATTGTGTACAGCGCATTTGTACATCGTTTCTCAAAAGATTTTCTCTCCGTTTAAACCCCCGACATTAGGTCCTCATTTTTCCCCTCCCTCCCCGTTCCCCCCTCCCGCATGAGCCCTTGATAGTTTATAAATGGGTATTTTGTCATATCTTGCCCTGTCCGACGTCTCCCTTCATCCACTTTTCGGTTGTCTGTCCCCCAGGGAGGAGGTCACACACAGTTCCATGTAATCGGTTCCCTCTTTCCTACCCATTCTCCCTTTGCCCTCCCTGTTTTGCCACTCACACCACTGGTCCTATAGGGCTCAACCCGCCCTGGATTCCCTTTATTTTCAGTTCCTATCTGTACCAGTGTACCTCCTCTAGTCTAGCCAGTCTTGCAAGATAGAATTCGAGTCATGGTAGTGGGAGTGGGGAGGAAACCTTTAGGAACTAGAGGAAAGTTGTATTTCTCATCATTGTTACATCGCACCCTGACTGGCTCATCTCCTCCCCGAGACCCCTCTGCAAGGGGATCTCCAGTGGCCTACTAATGGGCTTTGGATCTCCACTCCGCACTCCCCCCATCATTCACTATGGTAAGATTTTTTGTTCCGATGATGCCTTACACCTGATCCCTTCAACACCTCGTGGTTGCATAGGCTGGTGTGCTTCTTCCATGTGGGCTTTGTTGCTTCTGAGCTTGATGGCCGCTTGATTACCTTCAAGCCTTTAAGACCCCAGACGCTATACTTTTTGATAGCCGGGCACCATCAGCTTTCTTCACCACATTTGCTTATGCACCCATTTGTCTTCAGTGATCCGTTCGACACCCCGTGATCACACAGGTTGATATGTTGTTCCATGTGGGCTTTGTTGCTTCTGAGCTAGATGGCCGCTTGTTTACCTTCAAGCTTTTAATTTGTCATTAGAAATAAATATTTCACAATATATAATTACATATTGTTTTTCTGATTAATCACTATGCTTTAATTATGTTCAATTTGTAACAATGAAAATATATCCTGCATATCAGATCTTTACATTACAATTCATAACAGTAGCAAAATTATAGTTATGGAGTAGCAACAAAAATAATTTTATGGTTGGGGTCACCAAAATATGAAGAACTATATTAAAGGGTCATGGCATTAGGAAGGTTGAGAACCACTGATTTAGAATATACAACTTGATAGGTGAGCTAATTAACCAATAGCCTATCATTCAACTCTAATGCGGTTAGTGGGAAGAATATTGGTGTCTTGCAAATTTGTTTAGTTGCTTGAATGGCACTTCAAGGATGCATTAGCATTATACCAACATCAGTTAGGCTGCCCTAATCAAACAGAAACGACTCCATGGCAGTGAGTTTGGTTTCTGGTTATCATTTCAGACCAAAGAATACTGGAATTCTTCTTACAAGGATGTAAATTCATTTGAAACTCTTATCATATTAAACAACTTATTCTGTTACTAGCACAAGTGCTGTTGACTAAATTAGTGTCACTGTAAAATACAGTGTGTGCAGGAAGGAACTGGTATTTATTATCTAGTATTTGCCAAAGGAGTCCTGGGGGCATAGTGGTTACACACTGGGTTGTAACCACAAGGTCAGTAGTTCGAAACAACCAGCCACTCCATGGGGGAAAGATGACCTTTCAACCTTCCATAAAGAATTGGAGAGTGCTGGACACTCACAGGGGCAGCTCTACCCAGTCCTATAGGGTCTCTAGGAGTCAGCATCGACTCGATGGCAGCATTTCCCAGGTGGTTTGCATCATTATCTATCTGAGATGCACTTTTTCTTGAGTGCACCCATCCTGTGCACAAGAGGAAGAACCTGAAGCTCGGAGCAGCTTTGTGAGCTGCCGGAGCCACACATGCTTTTGTGTGCCAAAGCCTGGGTGTGACTGACAGTCATGTCCTTTCGTTCTCACACAGCACTGTTCACAGTTTCAAAGTCACTAATGCTTGCGATAAGCACTTTCTTAAAAAGGTGTTTGAAAATGCTGAGATCTTTTTTTGGGGGGGAATTGGGTAAGATATTAATAAATGGAAAAAATAAAGCCTCACTTTTAATTATGGATTTAAATTGTGAACTGAAACATCAACCTAGAAATACCCATTATGTATTGAAGAGCGTCAGACTTTATATCTAGTAAAATGATCCAGTATGTTTGTGAACAGAGGATCCTATATTTGTGCACAATGGAGAAGGAATGTGAGATGAATGGTGGCTGAGATGTATCACTTATAGTTTGTGTATTTTTCTAAGGCCTACCCCTTTTATTAGTCCATTTAATCTTTTCCATTCCATGTAATAAGCTACTAAGACTTTGCTAAATTAGGTAGCAGTGTTTGGAGTAGGTCCTATATCATGTCTTGAAAACTGTGGAATAGGTTTTCAGGGGTTAAAAATGTAGTGGAAATAGAAAACATTGGTATTTTATTATGATTGTTCTATCCCCATTTTAAAACAGGGAAAGTAAGGTCAGACAAGTTATTTGCTGAGAGTTATGTGGACGATGAAGAAGCAGAGGAGGATCGGGGTCCAGGTGGCCTGCTCCAGACGTGTGCTTCTGACCAGTGTATGTTAAGATGCGATAGAGGCAATGGCACCCATGATACTAATGAAGTTCATTATTCTTAAATTCCCACCAATTTTGGAAAATTGTTCATGTTTCTTTGTTCAAAGTAGGAAAGAGTTGCATTTTGAACTATAAGTTTAGTATTAAAAAAGTGAGGTATTATTTATTTCAGCCTCCCTTACCAACTTTTCACTGCCATTGTTAATTCTGACTTATACCTACAAGGACAGGGTAGAACTGCCCCTGTGGGTTTCTCCAACTCTAACTGTTTACAGGAATAGAAAGCCTCATTTTTCCCTCTGAGAGGGTGGTGGTTTTGAACTGCTGACCTTGAGGTTAGCAGTCTAACACATAACTGGCCTGAGCACCAGTGCCCCTGTCTTTCACAACAGCTTTCTTTAAATAAAGAAAACATACATCGACTGTTCCATGAAGACTGCATCAGAACACAACCTCGGGATGCTCACTCACCTGAGCAGGTAAAGCCATCTCCTGTGAAACCTTCAGAGCAAGCACATCGGTAGGAGCCTGGGGTATTTACACACTGAGCATTTATGCTGCACTGGTGGGTCCCATTGGAACATTCATCCAGATCTGCATGTAAAGAGGCACAACAGAGAGGAAAATGGAACATTCCATCATGTAAAAATATCTTAATCTACTTTCATTGAAATGTGAACCTCATGGAGTCTAATCCAGTAGCAAAGGCAGATGTTAAACTCAGAAATCAATATAACAGAATTTTGTCAAATGGACCAGGAAAAAAAGAAGTTATATGATATAATGGGAGGATAAAAGAGGCATATAATCTGAATTGCAAGATTAAGGGAGGTCCCACTAAAGAAAATACAACTTAATTATGTTCACATCAAAAAGATGAGCAAGAATTAGCCAGCTGAACAGAAGCAAGAAATGGTATTTATTTATTTATTTATTTATTTATTTTTGCAAAAGGAACAGCATGGATACAAATACAGAGAAGGGAAAGAGCTTGGTGTGACTCAAGAAATTTGCATGGCATGAGATTGAGAGTAACCAAAGTCAAAGATGGAAAGATGGTCGGTGGACAGATGCTATAGGGCACTGTAAACCACAGAAAGATGGCTGGATTTTATCCTACCCTGAAAACAAGGTGAAAACAAGGATCCTGAACAGAGCAGGCCCATGATTGAAAGGCCTGTTCTGACAGAATGGTAGCGTGTGAATTGCAGTCGACTGGAAGAGAGACCAGGAGAGACAGAGACACACATGGATGAGAGCAGGGGAATTAGGGTGGAGAGGGATGGATGGGTGAATATGGAGCAGAGGGTGGTTGGAAACTGCGGAATCCCTTGTAATAAAGGCCATCTACTTTGCTGCTATTGGATAGGGTGACAAAGGAATAAAAGACACCCCCTCAGCCACCCAAAATAAAGGAAGCTAAAAGAGGTCTAAAAGGAAGCTGAAACAAAGTCAAGTTAGACCTGAGAGAAAGCAGTAGGTGAATAAGGCTAGAGAACAGATTGAAGATGTGGCTGGAAGGTGCTGAAACTGATAGAGATGGCTGGACAACAAGTGGGTGGATAGTGGATATAATCACACCATCATAAAATGCTACTTATTTGGAATTATTGGAGCTGATCATTTAAACTCTATAGTCATCTCATAAGCATTTGATAAGCATGACACATTTGAATGGATAAGAAAATACATTCCTATTAGTTTATATTATCAGAAATAGATTGCAAGGTTATTCTTTAATAACCTTACTACAGACCTCTGAGATTTAATGAGTCAGCATGGGGAGGCCAGTTCGGCCAACTTTCTCCTCTCCTTTAAATTCACCTAGATAGCTCTTACAGGTTGGAAAAATGCTTCCTTGTTCAAGCATGCAAGACCCGACCCAGGGGCCAGCTCGACCGTGCATGGCAGTGAGGGTATCACGCAGGTCCTGCTTCAGATATCGAAGACTTGTCAGATGCTGGCCCAACAAGGAAAGAAATGGGAGCAGGGCAGCTACCATCCCATTCATCTTTCTTCAACCAGACTCTGTGAGTGAAATGAACCATCTAGATTTGCCTGCGAGAACAAGAATTCTTTTTGGTAGCCAGCTGCTGGTACCGACCACTTACTGCAAACTTAGCTTCTCCGACACAACCTTTCATTTCCCTCATTTGTTTCACAGGGTTTTGAATCTCACTGATTAACTCTGAAAAGACTGGGAAAATATATTAAGTAATTTTTACCGTACAAGCTGTTTGAACTGCTGGCTGCATATCAAATGGTTCTTACTAAAGAGCAATCGGTTTTTAAAAAGCAGATGGCAAGGCATATTGTTGTGGTCTGATCATTTATACAAAGGTTAAAAGAAACTCTTAGGCAGGAATTAGCTTGCAATGAAAGACAGCCTTTCATTTGCAAGGAAATAAAGTGAAACGCATCTTCCTATTCAAATAAGCAACTTAACGACTACCAGAAGAGCCTTTGAGAAATTTCATCTTCGCAAACCATGTTCCGGTTCAAAACTTACCAATACATTTGATGCCATTTCCAACCCAGCCTTCTCTGCAGCTACATGTGAAGCTTCCCGGAACGTTCAGACATGAGGCATGCATGTCGCAGTTGTGCGCACCAATTTCACACTCATCCACGTCTTAGGAAAATCAGAGTTAAGATGGAAAAGGTCAAATACAAATTCATGACTTCTACTTCCAAGTATACTGCTGTGTAAGTGTGCTTTTCATACATACATGGAAATTTCTACTTGTTTACAAGAAAATAATAACATCATTCTCTGTTGTTTTTGTGGACTCCAATAGGCCTTGAAAGGTCCAGATACAAATCAAACACATCTTTCCCTGGAGGAAATTGCCGGACACTTTGTGGAAAGTGAGAAGCAGCAGGTGGTGCCACCCAGCAGGAAACATATGCCCGCTCCACCCCACCCTTGCAGCCTTCTCCTTGTATGGAGAGGCATCAGATGATAAATGTCAAAAGAAATCCTCCATTTTTAAAATGGAGACTCTGCTATTCCTTCCTACAAATACTTGTTACACTTTTTACTTGCCTTTTCTGAAGGGCTGGGTCGCAGTGGTTGGGTGAGCCAACCTCTATCTATCCATCTATCTATCTATCTATCTATCTATCTATCTATCTATCTATCTATCTTC